TAGTGATAATAAGTTATGCTGCCAATGCAAGGTACAAGTTTGGAATCCATCAGCTGCTCCATAGGAGAAAGATGGGCAATGTCTTCCTGTAGGATTTATTGCCCTAACAACACACTGGAGGGTCACCAAAACCACACTCTTGCTCTGGGGCAGTTCACAGCCAGGCCCGAGAGGAGTGGAATTCCCTGTAGCTCACCTGGACGCAGGAGTGGCATCCACTTCCTAACCAACATTCCTCTGGAAAGTCTATCAACTTTGTGAAATTATAGAAAGGCATCAGGTCTTTTGTTCATAGAAACACTAAGAGGCATGCTCAACTTGACAGCAATCAACAACTTCTGCACTTAAGAGTCACACAAAGATGGGAAGAGGGTTAAGTGGAGGGCTGTTCATGGGTCTATCACAACTCGAACACAGGGTGGTCCTGAGGTGAATGGGGCCATTGACCACATAGCCAGGTCCTGCCATGCCAGCCCCACACGATGCCAGTGTAGATCAAATGTGCACTGCCTGGCTTTATGGATCCTGCAGGCAACCAGTCAGTCTCATCTGGTCTGGGTTAGAGGTGCATGACCCCTCTTTGCCTGGGCTCGTAAGTCCATCTCACCACACTCAAGTGCACAAGAGGTTCAGACAATGTCAGTGTGGCCAGCCAGTCAGATGGTAGGGCAGAATGCACACAGCTCTGGTGCACCAGCTTTACCCTCCTGAGTGGTCTCCAGCCTGGGTTACACAGACCCATGCACCCAGGTTATTTCCTGGGTGAAAAAAGTCTCTTTCTTCCTGCATGGGTGAATGTGTTTTCAAAGCAGGAAAGGAATCCTGCTGGGAGAAAGGCTGCATTAGAAACTCAAGGGTAGGCTAGAGAGGGTCAGCCACTGGGAACCAAGCCTCCATGTTATCAGGCACCAAGACAGACTTAACATTAAATTTGTCATTGTTGTTATGTGCCATCAAGTTGGAACTGACTCATAACTGAACCTCCAGCTGATTTTCAGAGGCAGTAAATCCCACAGGAAGAGATTGCCCATTTTTCTTCTGCAAAGCAGCTGGTGGCTTTGCTAGATAGAAGAAAAGAGTGAAATTGCAGTCATCAGCATGGGGAAAATATTGGTATAATGTGCTTATAGAAAACCCCCAGGTGTGTGGTACACAAAAACGTATCAAGTTTATTATTTACCTAAAAATCCAGTACTTTATATGGAGTCCATTTCTCCATAGGAAAAATTACTCCACTTAGACTTCAAATAAACTTTGTTCTTTATTTATGTGTGAATAAATCACTGACACTTGAAAGTGATAGCCAACTTCAGCTGGGTCTCTGCAGGAGGACAATTCAAACATCATCCTGAATCGTCTGTGTTTCATAGGAAAGCTTTTTCTCCAACTTTAGTGCATGTTCCCTTCCTGTAATTTGCCCGGATGAATCAGAAGTGTTCTCTGTTTTTGGAAAATGATGTGCCTCAACAAGTGTCTTCACACCTGCTGTTAGGGTTGTCTGGTCAGATTGAAATTGTTTGGTATCGAGAGATGGTGAAGGTGTACTAATGCCCCAGACATCTTTTTCTTGGAACCATGCTTTGTTCTTTTAAAATCACTTTAAAAGATACATGATCCTTTTTTCCCGATTTGCCCTCTTGGCATTTAAAAATTTGTTTTGTTGGGATAAATATGGCTTCTCAGAATCTCTCAGCTGACAAACAAGAGAGCTAACTGATGATCTTTATGGTTGAGTGAAGCCTTTATTGACAGAGCTGTGATCTGCTTTGCTTACTTATTGAGGCTGTGACCCTTCTTTTGGGAGAGGTGATCAATTATTTTGGAAATGGTACATGTTTTGATGTGCTTGCTGCATAGGTCTGTTTTCTCCATCCACACACGTGCATCTTTCTTCAACAGACTCTTTTTATTTTTATTTTTTCTTTTCCCTTGACTTCTTTTTATTTTTATACTGTTTTATTTACAAAGTTCCAATACATTGTTTTTCACACCAGGCCTTTCTCATTTCCTTCACTCCTCCCCCCCTTTCAATAGACTCTTGAGTTCCCTTTTCCATTTTCAGAAGCTGGAGGACCATTTACTAATAAAAAATATTAAGATGGCCTTCAACGCCTGCTGCCCACACACAAACACTTATACGCGTTCATTTCTTTGGTGCATGTTCTCACGTGGACTCCAGTGTCATGGCCCTCCAATTGGTAAATAATAAGTGTAGTGTGAATTGTTACTCAGTGACTGAAGACTTTTGTAAAACAGAAGTAATCCACTTGGCATTCATTTATAGAAAAAGAGTGTTTCTGGAAAATAGAATTTGTTAAAGTAGTCCATTGGGAGGTGCACTGCTATCCCCAAAGCAGAGTAATTCTTCCAAGATGGAATCTACTCCCAGCCCTATGGGAGATAAATGGGAAATCTCCTCTGGTGCAATTTACAACCTATAAAAACCCACTAGAGGATCAGATATGAGTCAGTTAGACTCAATGGCAGTATGTTTCAGGGGTTTTGTGTGGGCTTTTTTTTGTTCTGTTGTTTTTGGTTTTTTTTTTTAATCTTGGTAAAAGTTTAATGTTAACTTATAAAAATGAAAAATGGGGGAGAAAAGATGGCGGCGGTGGCAACAACCTAGGAAGCTGCTCGAGCAGCAGGCCACATAGAGGCAGGCCACCATGGCCTTCTACAGTCCTCTGTTTATTAATAATTGAACAGTTAAACAGTTGATTGCTGGTCTTTGGTGCAGATCGAGGCTCAACATCAGGAGATCAAGGATTCCCAGGGAGGAATGGGTGAGTCCTGTGGCTCAGAGCCCCCCACTGTTGAACCCTCGCCACCACTGTGGCTGCGTGGGACTCCCACTGTTGGACCCCAGGGATCCCCTCACCTGGGGCAGACAGTGGGCAACTCCCTCCCCCCCCCCACCGTGGAGCCTCCACACCATCTCAGAATGAACCTGTTCTGGGGAGAATTCTTGGAACCAAGATGGCGGTGGCTTCCTCCCTCTGCCTGCTGCTGAACCCACACTGCTGCGACCTCACTTGGGGTTGTTGGGGCCCCCGGTTCCTTTGGCTTGGCTTGGTTGTTGGGCCGGGGCCCATGGCTGTTATGGCGGAGCCCCCATGCAGCCTGCAGGCCCCAGACCACCAGCACGGGAGCGGGGATTGGGGGGGTGCAGTGGCAGCAGCAAAGCCATGGTGAGAGGTGAATGTCTCCATAAGGGACAGCATCTCTCTGTCAGTTGAGATTTCCTTGGACAGGCCTGAGAAGATGATCACCAATACAATGGATTGATAGGAGTCGTTATGGGCTGTCTACCACTCGAGACTAAGGT